TAAGATTAATTTTAAGGTCTATCTAAAGCACTCTCAGAAAATGGCTGCCACAGGCATTTGCTCATTCACAAAATGGTGGGGATTGATAGTAGTCAAATTCCATTTTCTAGGAAAAATAAGGAAGGTTACTTTGCTCCACCACTTCTAGTCATTTGTGGGTGTTTACTATCCCTTAAAATTAATCTTAAAGCTCTGTTTATTGGCAGACACATTTCCAAACAAACCCTGCTGGTCACTCATTTTTTAAATTAATTTTAAGAGTGCCTCTGTAATCTATTGGGCTTCAATGACATATTTGGGGGGCTAGGATAACGCTTAAGTTGGAACTTTGCTTATATCTATATCTATAATCTATCTATATCTATATATCTATATATCTATATATCTATATATCTATATCTATATATCTATATATCTATCTATCTATCTATATATCTATATCTATATCTATATCTATATCTATATCTATATCTATATCTATATCTATATCTATATCTATATCTATATATCTTTATCTATATCATCTATATCTATATCTATATATCTATCTCTCTACCTACACACACACACACACACACACACACACACACACACACACACACACACATATATATATATATATTTATATATATATATATATAATGCTGCTTATGGTTTAGCTGGAATGGCACCAACTTCAAGATCTCATCCAGCATGGCTCCTTCTCTAAGCTGAGACTGAGATCATTTGAGACCAATTACAGCTAGTACTCAATTTACAGCAGTTCATTTAGTGACTGTTCAAACCCTGTCAACTGCAGTGATTCACTTAACAACAATGGCAAGAAATGTTGTAAAATGGGGCAAAACTCCCTCAACAAATGTCTCACTTAGCAACATACATTCTGGGTTCGATTGTGGCTGTACGTAGAGGATTATCTGTATCCCTTATTGCAGATAGGATACTAATATATAAGTAATCTTCGACTTACGACCACAATTGAGCCCAAAATCTCTGTTGCTAAGTGAGACATTTGTTAAGTGAATTTCGCCCCTTTTTTACCACAGTTGTTAAGTGAAACACTGCAGTTAATTTAGTAATACAGTCATTAAGTAAATCTGGCTCCCCCATTGACCTGGCTTGTCAGTAGGTTGCAAAAGGTGATCAAATGACCCTGGGACACTGCAACCCGCCATAAATATGAATCACTTGCCAAGGGTCTGAATTTTGATCACGTGACCATGAGGATGCTGCAACAGTTGTGTGAAAAATGGTCATAAATCACTTCTTTGCGATGCTGTTGTAACTTCATATGGTCATTAAACAAACTGTTGTAAGTTGAGATCTACCTGTAGATATCGGGGAAAAAATAGAAAATGAGTCGGGTGGCAGGGCATGTTGATATCTCTCAGCCCTTCCCGTTTTAAAGATACTAAAAATGATGAAGACCCACTGACATCATACTTTGAAGAATTTCTCTGTGGTCTGAGTTTTGGTAACTTTGGTTACCGAAGTTGGTAAGGGTAAATCATTACTTCTTTAGCTAGAATGAGTAAATCTTTGATTGCCAATTATTCATAGCATTCTTCCATTTGTTTCTTGGCAAACTTTGAGATTGAGATTGAGATTGAGAAGTTTATTTAACTTTGCTCCCAAATTGATATAAACATTACTTTCTACGGACATTTTTCTTGGTTCTCAGTGCCGTTTGAACCTGTTGATGTCTGGTATTTAAAGGAGACCTCTTCCAAAATGCAGAACATTACTCTCTTCTGGAAGGTAAACCTTTTTGTATGCATCTTATTCTGATTTTAAAAAAGGAAATGGGGAAAGGAGTAGAAGTGATATTCAGCCGGTTCTGACCAGTTCTGATGAACTGGTAGCAGAAATTTTGAGTAGTTCGGAGAACTGGCAACTCTGACTGGCCCCGCCCCCATCTTTTTGTTGTCTCCTGAGTCCCAGCTGATCAGAGTCCCAGCTGATCGGCTGGTCTTCTTTTGTTGCCCTGCACAGAAGGAAGCTACAAAGCAACTTAGTGGGGTGGGGAGGGAATGGGGATTTTACAGTGTCCTTTCTCCAGGAGTGGGGTGGAAACGGAGATTGTACAGTCTCATTCCCCTGCCATGCCCACCAAGCCATGCCCACAGAACTGGTAATAAAAAATGTTGAATCCACCACTGGAAAGGAGGTATCTGCAATTCATAATATAGTTGTGGAAGAATGCAGCCATCACTGCTGCATTTTCCTGCGCAAAAGTGGAGCCTTAACAGATGGGGTCAAAAAGTACCTTCTTCGTCTGCAAGAAAGCTACAGAAGACCCGCCCCCTTCTCTACCCTAGGCCCTCTTTGGCCAGCTGTGGAGAAAAATCAAACACAGAAGGATACATCTTCATGATAGAGTGAATTTTTGGACCCAATGTGTTTCCGGTTCTGGTGCAGTTGCCCTGTATTGGGGCATGACACTAAACTAACATGCAAAATGTTTGTTTTTGTTTTTTTACAGTCCAAAAATGTACAAGGAATAATAAGCCAAAACTTTCAATATCAAGTGATATTTCAAAATCTCAACCAGATGCCACCAAGAACTGCAGACATGAGTGTGACCACCCACACTGTTTTCTCGCATGTCTCCCTTAAGGCAGATTATAACATAACACTTAATTCGAAGAATTCACGGGGCATCTCCCCATCTGTCTACATAACAACAAAATTGGGAATTACAGGTAAGGTACTTTTTTTTTCTTCAGAACTTAAATCCTCATTAAGTTATTTGAATATTAGTCATTGGCCTCAGTTATTGGCCACTGAAAGAATTCCAGGGTGGATTTTGCTTTGATTCATACTAAATAGTATGAATGAAACAGATTCCTTCATCATATAACATAGTACAGTAGTACCAACTCAACAGATAAGGATAATTCAGTTTAATTTTCTTTTGCATTACCTATTAATTCTGAATTTTTTTTAGTTCAATATTACAGATCACTGATTACTTATAGTTCCATTGTGGAGTTCCAAATCTTATTTCATCTTACTAACATCTCTATGAGCGTAACTTCCATTTCTAATTTAAATGTCTCCAGGGCTGATGAAGTTGCATTCCAGATGAGCTGAATAAAGCTATTGTTTTTTCTTCAAAGAACTGCTACCACCTAACCAGGTGTCTGCCACAACCATGGAGAATGAGAGAATCGTTGTTAAATGGGAAGTACCTTCAGCACCACCCTCTTTCATCAGTGGATACATAGTTGAATGGGTAGAGATCCCTCAAGACTATCACAGGAACAACATCTCCCCGACCTGGTTTAAAATTCCTGTTTCTAATTGCACAGTGATAAAAGGTAAACCATATCCCACAGGAAACACACATTGCTAACGAGATAGTTCAGACAAGCAATTACAAATGAGTGTTGCTTTTAAACATTCACACATTTAAGTCAGCATTGCACAGCAAGTCAGTACAGCCTTCCCCAACCCAATATAATAGATCAGGGGTGTCAAACTCAATTTCATTGAGGGCCGCATCAGGGTTGCCTTCGACTTTGGGGGGCCGAGTGGGCATGGCCAACTCGACATCGCTTGTGTTGTAGCCCGAGCGGGAATGGGAACATCCTCCTGCAGCCCTCTGCCAGCGAAAACGGACTTTGGGAGGACCACATTTGGACCCCCGAGCTCTGTTTTTGCTGGCAGAGGGACCTTGGGCTGATCCTTCACTGTTTCTAGGACAGCCCCACGGGCCACATCTAACACCCCATGGGTCAGATCTGGTCCGCAGGCCTTAAATTTGACACTCCTGTAATAGTTTATATGCTAGAATGGATTACAGACAATCCTCAATTTACAACTGTTCATTTACTGACTGTCTGAAGTTAAAACAGCAGTGAAAAAAAAGTGACTTACGACTGCTTTTCATACTTCATGATGCATTTTACAACCCGTGTCCTAAAGTCTTTTCTCAAGGCTTTTAATCTACAGGTTGATAGTTTTACAAGAACGCATGTTGCATCTGATTTGATCTTATACTTTCGTTCTGCAAACTTCAGAAAAAGAAGAGCTTTAGTTTTGCTAATGAACAAAATAATATTTTCTTATTGATAATCAATCCAGCAGAAGCAAGTTTGCATACCCTTTTATCCCTCAAGTCCAAATCTTTCCTAAATTTATCTGAGAGACAGAAAACATACCTGAAACATGTGGCCTTTAGGATAGAGGACCAAGAAGCAATGACTGGGAAATTATGGGAATTGAAGTTCACACAACTAAAAGTCACCCAGATTTGGGGAGGGGGGCAAACTAAGAACAAAAATTATTAGCTTCCAGCAGTACCATTAGATATCATTGTCTAAATCTAGAATCTAGGATGACTCAATGTCTATACCAATAAATAGCTGATTTGCAAACATCGCGTTGAAAAAAATAAAACCACTGTCCTCCTAAAATTGTGCAGCGCTGCAGTCAGCTACCACCTGAAAGACCACTTTCTAATTTCTAGAGAATTTAAAGCCCAACGTATGCTACCACATCCGTGTGTTTGCGCTCTATCGGGACAGAGCAGGAAAAGCAGCTACCACCACAGAAAATATCTCAGCAAAAGGTAAAGTAACAGATGGTTTGGTTTAAGGTCTGAGATCATCTAAGACAGGGGTCGCCAACCTGTGGGCTGTGAGGGGTTTGCAACTGTGCCATGGAAATGGTCAGCAAGTGCACATGCGCACAAGCAAATTTTCACATGCTCTATTTCAGTGAGCAACAGAGGTGCACGTGCACGCCACTCACATAAATGGAGTTGCGCATGGATGTGTGCAATTGTCGACCACTCATGCGGAAATTCCTCCCCAATTGGCCTGCAAAGCCAGAAACATTGAGGAACTCTGATCTGAGATAATCAACTTTTTCACAAAGATTTCCTTTGTAGCTCCGTTAACGGGACCTCAGATTGTGAATGTAACTGTGGAAGGTGGCAGCATTTTGGTCTCCTGGAGAGAAGTTCCAGAAGATCGGAGGATGGGGTGTATCATTAGTTACAAGATTTATTTGCAGAAACAATTCTTTTCTGCACCCCTGGATGTCCACGGTAGGTACCTTATAAAAATTAATAACCTTAATTCTTAAAGTGCAAAATGCATAGGGTACTAAAAAAAGGAGGGGATGGGCAACTTTCAGTCAAGGACTAGCAACTTAGACAAATAAACTAACGGTAAACAATAGCCTAGTCAAGGAACAACCAAGATCACGCCTACCAATAATGACAGGGCAAGCCACTGGTATAAAAAAAGAACAAACTCCAGTTCCTTCCAGCACTGATGATGTTACCTAATTGGGTAATGCAACGCCTGCAAGAAAGCCTACCAAAGCTTATAGGGCACCATTTCAACCCTGGGCTACAAATATTCTCTTCTATCAATAGCTTTCAGTCAGAAATTAAAGGTATTCAGATAACAGATTAACATAGTTGGAAGGGACCTTGTAGGTCTTCTAGTCCAATCTCCAACCCAAGCAGGAAACCCTACACCAGTGATGGCAAACCTTTTCAGCACTCGGTGCCGTAAAGGTCATGCGGAAACATCACGTTCGCATGTCAGGGCTGTCGTTCGGAAAAGCCAATCTTCCGGGTTCTACTGCTCATGTGCACCCGATGGTCAGCTGGCCCGCACACAGGCACAGGCCGATTTTCAGCACTGCCATGTGCGCGAAGGGATCGCGCTCTGGAAAAGCCGAACTTTCTGGGTTCTGGCACGCATGCACACCCAACAATCAGCTGACCAGTGCGCATGTGCACAACTTTTCAGCACTGCTGTGGACACGGACAGCTGGTCATTGCGCACACATGCATGCCAGAAACACAGAAGACAAACAGGCAAAGCGGCGTGTTCTGGGTGACATGTCTTCACCTGCCACTTTGGGCACATGTGCCATAGGTTCGCCATCATGGCCCTACACCATTTCTGACAAATGGCAGTCCAGTCTCTTCTTGAAAGCTTCCAGTAATGAAACTCCCATAATTTCTGAGGGCGAGCTGTTCCATTGGTTGACTGTTCTCACTGTCAGAAAGTTCCTCCTTATTTCTAGGTTGAATCTCTCCTTGGTCAATTTCCATCATTATTCCTTGTCTGGTCTTCAGGTGCTTTGAAAAATAGCTTGACCCACTCCTCTCTGTGGCAGCCCCTCAAATATTGGAAAACTGCTATCCTGTCTCCCCTGGTCCTTCTCTTCACTAGACTAGCCATGCCAAATATTTGAAACCGAGTGCTTTGAGAATTGCTCTGTGCCCAAAGAAATGGAAACTGCCTTAAATCACAAAGGCAAAGATATGCAGCTTGATTTGATAAGAGCTTATGCTGTGAAACAATTATTCTTTCACCTTTTTATTTTTCTAATCAGAGCTCTCTAAACCAGCCCCACAACCCTTTTATATAAAAAACATAGAGGCTGGTGCTTCCTATGTTATTTGGATGACGGCTTCTACAAATGCTGGAGAAAGCCCGAAAGGGAATGAAGAGCTGATCTACATAAAAAGTAATTATAATTTGTCACCATTATGAGTAACAGTTGAGTGTTTTTTTTCCAAACAAATTCATGTTAGGCAGATTATCATCTGTCAAAATGTTAGGTGAAATAGTTTGATTTTTAAATAATAAGCTACAAAAGTTATTAAATTATCTTCTCCAATTGGAAGGCTGGGATTACTATATAGAAAAGTATCCAGGGCGGTTGCTTTAATAAACAGGTACTGTGTTTCCCCAAAAATAAGACCTCCCCAGATAATAAGCCCAATTGGGCTTATTATCCAGGGAGGTCTTATTTTGGGGAAAACAGGGTAGTCCTTGACATATAACCACAATTGGGACCAGTTGTTATGGCTATAAGTTGAGGCACTCATGTGATCAGATCTGATTTTGACATTTCTTTCAGCAGTCTTTAACTGAATGTCATAGTCATAAATGTGAACCCATTCTTTCAAATGGCTAGGGTTGTTTTTACTAGAAACCAGCAAAAAACATCACAAATTGCGGTCATGCAATTTGACCATTAAGACGAGCCAGTTACCAAATACCCAAAATGTGTTTACGTGACCATGTGGGTGATGATGTGGTGTGGCATTTTAGGATGACCAAAAGTGCTTTATGGGCCTATAAACCATCTGTTCTAAGCCCATTGTGCTTTTGAATGGTCATTAAGCAACCAGTCGTAAGTTGAAGCTACCTGTAGTAAGATATGTGTCTTACAGAGTAATGCATCATGGATCTCATCCAAAAAAGTTGTAAGAGACTAAATAAATTAATGCCTTCAAAAAGAAATCAGATTTCTAAATTCTGGTTAATCTTAATTGTAATGTTTTAATACCTGTGCTTTTGTCTTAATATAGCAGGTGGATTTATAGATGCTACCGGCTGGGTCCCAATTGTAGCCATTTTCATTATTATTGGACTTTCAGTCTTCTTTTGCTGTATACCAGCTGTTCGGCAAAAGTAAGTTATCCTAAATTTTTTAGATGATTTTTTTTAATGTTTAACCATATCTAGTTCCCAGAGACTGCCTGGACAGGTGTGTTCAGTTTTCTTGGCAAGGTTTTTCAAAAGTTTCTTTGTCTTCATTGTCTCCTTCCCAAGGCTGAGGGAAATTGTCTGGCCCAAGGTCACCAAGCAATTTTGGACCTAAGGCAGGACTAGAACTCACAAGCTCCTAGTCTCTGGTTTGATGCCTTAATCAATACACCAAAATGGCTTTCTTTAGATCAGGCTTGTCAAACAGATACGGCTATGAAATCAGGTTTCACATCCCTGCTTTAGATGATTAGTGTTTGATAGATATAGAGTGACATAAAATTACAACACAAAAAATTGAATAGGATAATTCACAGGGGAAATCACTCTCTTGATTGTAAAAAATATCCAGAATCAGTTGAGACATGTAAGGCAAAGTTAAGGGGGATGATTTTTATTTAATTTTAAAAGTTTAATACCAACAGGGAAGCTATTAATGGCTGCCTGTGGACCCATAAAAACCTAAATTCCTCCACAGCAAACACAGTCCGTATCTTGCCTTTATCAACAACATCAGATCATTATACTACGTTCATTCTTAATGATTCTGCTCGGTGCTCTACCTTTAACTATACTTTTGTTGTGTTCCAATGCATCCATAAATTTCAGCTCCTTATCTTTAGATATGCATGTGCATTCAGCAAGATACCTGATAGCAGGGACGTGCAGTCAGGGGAGGCAGGGCCTCACCACTGTCATCAT